CAAATCGAACAAGGATAAACTGACTATTGAAAAAGGAATTGTTTGTAATGGTGACCTTATTGTACCTCCAAAGACATTGAGAAGGAGATTTATTCAATCAATCCATGATGACATACATTGTGGCATTATGCTGACTCGTTGTAGATTAAAATTAGAAGCGTGGTGGCCTGGTTATTGTCAAGATGTGGAAGAATATGTAAAAAATTGTGAACAATGTACTGAGATTAAAGTAAGAAATTAAAGAACAATACATACATGGCCTAGTGAAAATAAACCTTGGTGTAGGGTGCACATGGATCATGCCTCTATAAAAAATGTTGGATTATTTTTGATTTTAGTGGATGCCTTCTCTGGATGGCCTGAAGTTATAAAGGTTAACAATCGAGATGCTCTCACAATTAAGACAGTACTCCAAAATGTGTTTTCTAGAAATGGCGTTCCTGAAGTTTTGGTGTCAGATAATGCTGCAGAATTTCATGATACTGCTCTATGCCAATGGCTGAAGAAAATAGGATGTTTACCATATAAAACGCCCCCTTATCACCCACAATCTAATGGGTTAGCTGAAAGAATGGTGGTGACAGTCAAGATGGGTCTGAAAGCTTATTCAACAGACAAAGGTATATTAGGTGCTTATTTAAATAGAATGTTATTAAGTTATAGGACAATATCTCATGCAGGAAAATCGAGAAGTCCATCTGAGATAATGGGGAGGCAGTTAAGATCTCCTTCTACTATGAGTTTTGAGAGTGGGTCACCGTTATGGTATTGCCAGAAACCAGAGTCGAAGCCAGAGCCAGCAACCTTCATTTCTCAAGCTGGCTAAAACACGGCAATCATTATGAGAAATAATTTTGGTACATTGGCCCATTGCGACCAATTGAATAGGCGACTAATTGAGACAAATGTGGATGGGGTTGAGTGCAGTGTTAATGAGAAACTTTGTTCTATTAACAAAGAGGAACCTGTTACATGTAAAGTGCTTATGCCAGATAAAGAACCTATCACAGAATATCGAAGAAGTACTTGATCAACCAGAGGGCAAAAGCCAATACGTTTAAGGGATGTTGTGCCGTAAAAAGTGACTACGAGTTACGGACGTTCTGCAAACATCTATTTTATTACGTGGCGTTTTATATAGATATATATTATTGTATGCATGTAAAAAAGGGAATATAGAATATTTACTATAGATGTATATTAATATGAATAGGTAGTTTTGCTTTTATTCTACGATACAACATAAATAGTTTGCAATTAATTATAATAATAAAAGTTAAAACTTAAATTTTTTTATCATGTGTATTATTATTTCGAATACAAAAGTTTCAAATTCAAATACAAAAACTAAGCAGGTTTCTCATTGTCAGTTATTAAAATGTTTTCTATTTATTAAAAAAAAATAATAATAAAGGATTATCAGGCGCACTTCAACCTTGAGGCCTGGGTCAATTTGCCCTCTTCGCCCCTCTCTCTCGAAGGCCCTGGCTATACCAACAACAAATGACATCATTATTAAAATTTGCAGAAGATCATTTAGTGCAGATTCTTGTAACAAATGGATGTTCCCTATGTTTCACCAGTGAATTACAACCGGGAATCGTTTAAAGGATTTGGCCATCATAACAATCATAAATTAAAAGGTAAATTAAGGCAGCAAAAATAAAAATACAAAGAATTTTGTTCTGAGAATCTATATGAAAAATATTTCTTAATTACAACTGTAATTTTCTCAATTACATATTACAATTTCTTATTTACAACTTTCATGTTTTAAATTACATCTTACATTTTTAAATTACAAATTTTAATTTTTATTTTCATTTTATAAACCTTAAGTTTCTTAATTACAACTTTCATTATCTTAATTACATCTTAAGTTTCTTAATTACAAATTTCAAGTTTTTAATTTTTTAGCACTTTACCCCCTCATATTTCATTATTGAACAAACTTAAAGTTGCTGTAAATCTTAATGGGATAAGAATTTTTTGAAAAATTCAGTCTTTTCTAACTTATATCTGTGATCTATTATTTCAACAAATTTAGCGTTGTACTTTGAAACCCCTTATTTTTTGAAAAATTTTTATGAAAGTCAAATAATCTTTATTATGAGTTTTATGGAAAACTCAAACCAAAATATTTTGCTAATGGATGAAGAAGCATTCAGTGTGTTTATTGGTTTTGATTTAACAAAAGCACAAAATATTTATATTAAAGGAGTTGACAAATGAACTAAATTGTTCTATATTCCCACCATATAACATGTTGTAAGAAATTAAACAGAAAATAAACCTGCTATAACCACCATCTTCTGAAATTACTACTATAAACTAGAAATTACAAATACAGATGCAAAAATTCTGTAACTGCAGGATTAATTGAATCACACGGCTAGAACTTTTGACCTTAGATTCTGTGAACAATATTAAATTCAAAAAATTAAATTTTAGGATTGTACCAATCAAAACTTCTAGAGGAACTTATTTCTGATACAAAAAAACTAGCTCCTTGGTGCCTATCAGGTTAATTGACAGGTAACAGGTGGAGGTAAAGAGTAATTAGGTGTCTTGTACAGTTGTTTTCCGAAAAACAGCTTCTTTTACTGTTTGTTTTTATTGCCTTATATGCATAGAATTTTGCAAAGAGATTCTCAGAAAACTAAACCCATTGTAGTTGAAATAAAAAGCCAAACAACCTCTTCGCAGTCATCTATAATTAATAAAATCTCTAAAGGAATACAAGTGAAATTTAAATTTTTTTTGGCAATTATAGATGGAAAAGTGACTTAGACATTAACAGATATGCCTCCTGGGTCTCCATGCACAATATATGGAGCTAATCCACAGCAAATGAACAATTTGACTTTAGTAGTTAATAGGTTAAAAATCAAAATTTGTATCAACATGGACTGTCTACATTACATGCCTGGATTTGTTGTATGGAAATGATTCTACGCATCTCCTACAACCTGTATTTTCAAACATGAACAGCCACAAATGATGAAAAGAAATGGCTGAGACAAGAGAAGAAGACCTTGGTATGGAAATGTTTTTGCAAGAAGGTAGGATTGATCATCAATAAAACAAAGTATGTAATAAGTGGTAATACCATTAATGGCAATACTGCTAGAAGTTTTTTTACAATGCAATCTGTTCTGATAAAATCACTGGAGTAAATAAAAATTTGATTAGGCGCCCTCAGGTGTAATGATAAATGCCAAAAGTTTTGGTAGTTGTGCTATAGGAGCTGCCAGAATCTATCTGAGTAATCATGAAGAATATTAAATGCCATCTTCAGTACACAAAATCTTGCTTAACAGAGAAAATATTGTAGATAATTTTGCAGTACTTCCTATTGTTTAACTTTCAAAAGATGCATAAGAATTATGTTTAAGGATTATAAAAAATTTCACCTTTATCATGCCAAGAAATGCCTTGAATCAGCTACAAATGAGGATGTATTTCATACTCTTTTGTACACTTCTGTACATCACCAGTATCAGAAAATTGTATAACAAAAATGTGCATGACTAGATACAGATACTCTGCAGATTCTAAAAGATAACCTATAAATTATTCCATAAAAATAATTGCATAAAAATTGTTATTAACAAAATATTTTAAGTGTTTCTATAATTAGCATTTTGTTTACTTATTTTTTTTATGTTTCTAATACTTTTGAAGTATTTTAATACAGCTTAAAAGTAAAAAGTAATTTTAGTAAAAATTTAACACTCTATTTTTAGTAACAAAAAAGTTATTGATTTTTAGTCCGCAACAGCTTATATTTCACTGTGATGCAATTAAAGTGTGGGGAAAGGGGTAAAAGACCAAAGTGAAATTTTCATTTTGATTTCAAATGATGCTTAAATGTTTGTAGTAAGCCTTATGTCTAGTATGTCCATGCATGAGCATTTTATTTTAGACAGCTTAGTCGCAGCTGTTTGCAAGTTTTATTATACTAGGCATTGCGGAAAAGTATTGAAACTAAGTTTCAAAAACAAAGAAAGCAAAACTAACGAAATAGGAAGTTATAATAAATTTAAACAGAAAAAAAACAAAAACTAATAATTCAAATAAATTGTATACTGTTTTTATTTGTTTCTTTAGAGTGGTTGTTATTTTCAGCAATGAAATTAGATAAAGCAAAGCAAAAAAAAATTTTTAATTTACATTAAAAAGAACAATTTTCCTATATTTTATTTGTTTATTTTTAAAGAGGAAAGTGAAAATATAATTGCAATCTGTTTGTAAAACATATTTGTATAATTTTAATGTAACATATATAATATCCCTATATGAATATGTAATGCATGCATATACTTTTAGATATATTTTTCTTATTATATAATTATTTGTTCATTAGTATACGCATGTTTAGCTTATTTGGATAAGGGGTTTTCTTCATACACAGAATGTCCATAGTTCAAATCCCATCATACCCCTAATTATTTAAATTAGTAAATTTTTTTTATTCTTTTCTATTTAAATTTACTATAATTTCCTATAAAATAGGAAATTAAAATAAATTTATAGGCAATATAAATTATAACTTTTCAATGCATTAGAAGTTGCTTTAAAGACTCCCTCCTGTACTTTTCACGTGTCGTTGTAAACTACTAGGCTACTTATATCAATAATTAAAATAGGCAAACAAATCAACATTACTTTGTAAAAATCTGGGAAAGCTCTGGCTCCTTAGTTCCCAATTGTCACAGATTCTGGGAAAAATCTGGCTCCTTAGTTCCCAATTGTCACAGATCATGATTAAATAGATAAAAAATCTCTCTGAGATTTGCACTTAAATAGATAAAAAATACACCTCTGAGATTTGCACTTAAATAGATAAAAAACCTCTCCGAGATTTGCACTTAAAGGCAGTGGCATCTCTTGCCATACCCAAGCAAAAGCACTAAAACTTACAAATGTTTTATTTAATTTTTAACTTAACCTAAACAAATACAAATTTATAAAACTGTGTAAAATAAATATTGACATACCATCAGTTGTATAAAAATTATACCAACTGCTTTGTGCAGCATAGTTTGGTTGAATATTATTTATCGAAGAGACTAAAACCATGACAGAGTAACTGGTCATACTCTTTAAGTCAACTATGTTTGCAAAAGTTTGGTTAGTTTGTAATGTTCTTTCATCAGAAATATCACTTTTAGTGTAAACAACTGTGTACAAAGTAGCATTTGAAAATGTATCCCAAGAGATTCTGAGGCTTGTGCTTGAAGGTAACAAAACAAGATTGGTTACATCTGGAAAGATATCTAAACACAGTGTATTTAGTTTATATTAAGTTTTATGTATTAAGTTTTATACAATAAACATTTTATTAAGTGAAATAAGTTAACATTATTTTGAAACATTTAAAACCAATAAAAGTCAAAAATAAAATGAAATATAATAAACTTTAAAAGTACAATTGAAAGTAAAAAAAATAGCAATGTAAAACGTTTAATGCATAAATTATAACCAATAATCATCATTTACTTGAATTTGTTGTAACACTTAATGTGTTCTTTGTTTTTACTGTTAAAGTAGTAATCATGTTGTTAAATTGATAAACCATACACGTTAGTAAGTAACTGGCTCCAGGCAAAACAGAAAGTGTTATTTTGTTACTTGAACTGTATTGTTGAATAAGACCCATTTTTGATAAACCTGTTACTTTGTAACTTGTGGCATTCGGAACAGCATCCCATGCTACATCCACTCTTGTTTTATATATTGGAGAAACAATACGAAAACTTGTAATATCCTGAGATTCTGAAAAAATATACAACTATGTAGCTTTTAATTTGTTTAAATTTAACTATCGTTAAATATAAACAAATTATATTTTACATAATTATTAATATATAAAAAAAACTAATCTTGAAATTTTGTAAAAAGTTAAAGATCTTGTAATAGGTAATTGGATGAATCCTAAAAAAAATATGCTTATTCGTATGTGTTTAAACTTAGATTCTCATTTAACTCAACTTTTGGTAGTTGCAAGACTATACTTGACACACTATACCAGTGTGTTAGCCAGGAAAATTGCATTTTTGAGATATTGGAAATATTTATTGTTATTGCTCTACAAAATTTTGAGAATTTTTATTGAAATTGTCCTATTACTTAAAAAAAAAAAGATCATTGGATTGTGGGAATTTTAAACCTATTAGGAATTCCGTGGTATATGGTATGCCATTAGGCTGACTAATACAATGTATACCTATGTATACCAGATGTCTATAAATATAGTCATTGTAATCTAAAAACACTTTCTTTTTAATAAAAATGACTTGTCAACATTATATTTGTATCTTTAATTTATCTTGGCATAAAATGCAATGTAAACTTTAAATATATTACTTAAGAATTTTTTTCTAAAAAAAAGTCACAGTGGAAAATATTCATGTTGCTATTGTAACGGACCAATTAATAAGATAAAAGTTTTAAGGATTTTCAGATCAGCAACAATTACATTTGGTATTAATTTGATAGCAAAAATAAAGGTGCAATATTATTAAAATGTTATTAGCTTATATTAGATAAGAAATTTATGAGTAAACTTATTAATCGCCACCTAAATACCATCTTTATCCACCAGCTAAATAAGAGTTTATAAAAACCGTGTGAGTAAAATTGTTGATCTCCACTTCACTAATGAATATTTTAAAAACTTCCTTAAAAAATGTTATCAGTCATGGCTATAATGGTGGTGACTTTAATAGAATTGAATGTGCCTTAAGTTTTAAGATCTTCGAACAAAGTAACGATGTATTAAAACCTTGTAAAGGATTAAAAATAGTAAGATATTTTATTTTAAAATGTTTTTAAATAGATTAGACCCCAGTTTTTATAATGTTACAAAGCACAAATATGTTAATATCAGGAAATTTAATATTAGGTTTGTGTTTGTTTGATTCAGTTGATGAATGCTGTGTTGGTATTAAACTTGATATATCCTACAAAAACCTTTTTTGGGGAGCCCATAATGGATTTGTAAAAAAGATTTTAATTAGATAAAAGATTTACTTATTCAGTTTACATCCCAGGAAGTATCTTGATAAGTAAAAAATTATGCTTGGTGCTACATTAAAACAAATATTTATAGCAGTGAAAAAAATCTAAACAAGACAGATTAAAAATTTGTTGTGTCTAAAAAAACCTTTAATCATGGTCAATGCTAGTTTAAAACACGCATTTCATTTTTCTGAGTTTTTAATTTAAGCTTTAAGCATGTGTCAGTGAAGACAGAACATTTGCATTCTAAACACATTTCTGTCAAACATGAAAATAGTTTCAACTATTTTTATGCCAATATTTATAAAAATAATAACATTTTGCAACAATTTGTGGTGATAGGAGCACAGGAATGGAAATGCCCTCAAAAAACCACCCCCACTAAAAAATAAAATAAAACCCCTAAGTAAAAGAAAACCCCAAAGTAAAAGAAAACTAAATTTAAAAAATTATAATTTTTTATACTTTAAATTTAATTATAATTTTTAATTAGATTTTAAATTTTATTATATATATTCAAGCGCTCAAAAGATTTCGCTAAAGTTTAAATCATTTTATTTATTGAACGTTTAACAAAAGAGGGTAAAAAATATACATATAAACTTTATTTTGTTTATAACAAAATTTATCTCAGTATGTTCTAATTAGAACATACTGATAGTTATCTTACTTCTAAGATATTTTATTTCTTACTGATATATTTGATATACCATATTCTACTTCTAAGATTCTCAAACTTAGTGATCATATTCAACTCCTAAATTGTTTGTCTGGAATTACCAACACAAAAAACTCTTACCTTCAACGACTTCTTTCCTAAAAGTGCAAATAATTGTTACTTTCTTTGATCCATTAACAATCTGAACCTAACAGCCTTAAACATTGTTCTGCTAATTATGGGCATTTATAAATGTGTACTAGTTTAGTATTACTAGATTTATATATGTGTACTAGTTTATTATACTAGATTAGTATTACTAGATTACAACTGTTGTAATCTTATTATTATTTGTATTACTAGATTACAATTATTTTTGTCAAAGTTATTGTTATTAACTTTATTGTCATTATTAACTTTGTCAAAGTTATTGTTATTAACTTTACTATTAGTGTTACAATTGTTATTATTAGCTAGAAAATTCATGGGCACCCGTGGCGCCCATTTTTAGCAATCTTTTACACTTGTAAATGATATATACTTTGAGATGTGAAGTGAAGCCAGTGAAGGCAAACAAGTCTTATATATATTATGCGCAAACCTAATGAGTGTTTATAAGTGAAAAAAATTATAATTAAAAATTTAAATGACTGAAAACAAATCTTACAAATTATAAATTCTAAGTTCAAAAAAACTTCATTAAAGAATTTCTTTATAAACTATATTAAGATCATAACAATAACACCTTTCTTTAAAAGCAAGACATGTATAAGTTGTACAAATAAATGCACTTAATTAATATTACACACATTTAAGTTATTTATTAACTGAATTACTTAACTATTTATTAACGGCAGTGTCTTTTATTATATTATTATTTATTATTATTTAATATTAGCAACAATTAGTTAATTAATAACCACTGCACTGCACAAATAATTATTTATATTGTTATAACACTATTATAATATAACTCAATTAATTAACAAAGTTTAGATAAAATTAGTTTGATTTGACACATGATATTTTTAAAGTAATTAACACGTTTTTAAAAATAAAATGACTTCCGCATGTTTAACACGTAAGCATTACATAACTGTTACACTATCAGGACCTGGGTAAATATATACTAGATTCTATTGTTGTTATTGATTTCTATAATAATAATATTACTTTATTACTATTAATGTTATTGTTAACTCCAGCAAAGTTTTAACTTAAGATTAGTACATGAACTATTGGTAAATATTCATGAAGTTTAATTAAAGTGTATCCATGAAATTTCAGAAATATATTGATTTAAAAAAATGAATTAAACCCTAAAGTATTACAAAACATGTTTATAATATTTTTGATGAGTTTTTTGCAGTTTTTTTCTTTCTTAAATATAAAAGTATAAAAAGTTTCTTAACATAAATAACACAAATTCTTCCAAAAATATAAATTAACATATATCTTACCTACAGCCAAACTGAAGAGAGGAATTAAGCATATCAATTTGAGCATCCTTAAAATAAAAAGTTAACATAAGATTGGAGTAAACCGGTAACTAAACAGTAAAAAACAAATAGCTTTATTTTAGATCTTTTTTCTACACAAGATAGACGATAAAAAAAAAAAATTGTTTGTTTATTTTATGTGAAATAACAAAAAAACTGAAAATCCAATAAAAAAAATTTTCAACCATTTTCCCAACTATGATTAATCAGAAGATGTACCACAGTCAATATTACAACCAAAGTATACATGATCTATACACTATTTTTGTACTTATATGCTAAAGCGTCAAAAAATTGTTTTTATTCATAAAAACTTCAAAAAACTTCACTATAACAAACAAAATAAAAAAAACCTTTAGAAAATGAAATGAAATTAAAAAATTTATTTATTCTTTTTTTTTTTTTTTTTTGTTATTTACAAGAAATAAAATACAGTTTAAATCGAAAAACAACTTACTGAAGAAAGAATAAAACTAAAAAATTAACTAAATATATTTATAACTAAAGGTTTATATTTTTAAGTTATAATTTTTAAAGCTACAGTTGAACAGTCTAAAATATATATATTTTTTACTTTTGCGCTCTTGTCAATGGAGACTTTTTAAACATGAAAAATATTTATTGGATTCATTACATACATCAACTATCTTATAGCCTGGCAATCTTATAAAATTAGTAATAGAATTAAATATCTTATTAGTATCACACAACAGGTTCTGTAAGTTTCTGTTCTGAAGGTTGGGGTGGCTGTGTTTCAGATAAACAGATTCAGTCAGTTTTTCTCAACATGCTTGAAACTGGTGATCTTATACAAGCAGACCGAAGTTTCCGAATTGAACAAGAAGTAGCAACAAAAAATGCAATAATGAAAGTGTCAGCTTTTACAAAAGGAAGAAGTGAACTATCTGCTAAAGTAGTAGACAAATCTAGGCAGATTGCCAATATAAGAATTCAGGTGGAGCAAGTTATTGATATTTTGAATGTTAAATTACTTATAAGTCAAGTTGATTTATTAGATAACATTGTTTTTACTCTTTGTAAATATGAGTAATAAAGTTGTTATTTAACTGAAAAACTAAAATTTATTTTATTAATGTTTTTGCTTCTTGTTTTGTATTGTTGCAAGTTAGGCAAACCCATGACTTTTTGGGTGCATGTTTTATACTAACACATGAGTAGTAGTACCATTCAATCTTGCAATTTGGACTATCACATGCAATTATTGGATAAAAACTTGGTTTCTGGCAAAGACAGTATTTTTTCTCTTCTAACTCATTTTTTGGGTCATTTTTTCTGCATAACATAGTTCTGAAAGTACCACTTCCAATGGAAGTGGTACTTTTAGAACTATTATGCAGAAAACATTTCCATGAAAACATTTTTCTATTTTTCCAGTAATTTTTTACAACAATTGTCATCTATTGGAACTCTTAATAAAAATGTATCTCCTTTTGCAAGTCCAATACTCCATACAAAAAAGTCACAATAAGTGACTTTTTTGTACCTTGTTAAATGCATCTGATGCTACATTTGATATTAATATTTGTTCTTTTTTTATGTTGCCATAAATATCAATTGGACTTCCTTTGTCTTCTTTCCATCCATCAAGACCATTCCTAAATTTAAATAGGCATTTTTTTTCTAAAACCCATCAGGACTTGCTCCTAAAATTAGATTTTAAGTATTAATGTACAATCCAGCACCAGTCAAGCAAAAATCTTTGTGCTCAAATAAATGCTAATAAAGTGTTGTTGCACTTCCTGGCGTATTTTTCGGTTTTTTTACTGTAATTTAAAGCAGGTATGTTTGTGATTTGTTTATACTGCATTATTTTATAAATAAAATTTAATGATAGGTTTTCAGTATCAGTGCAAAATGCTTGTTTTGATATGGAAGCTGTAATATGACCTGTTCTATGAAAGTGCCAAATTTTATTATCACTTTGGGTCATGGTAACCATAGCAAGTTGTTCAAATTGCTTTTGATAACTAGATTTTATTCCAAAAAACGTTTTGAAATATTTTTAACTTCATTTAAAGAACTATTAACAAATGATGGATTGTATAAATAGGTTAAGAGCTTACATTAGCTGAATCCGTTTTACTATTATAATTAGTGCTCGATAACCACTTTATACCATAGATATATAAATTACTGGATATGGCATAGGCATACCCAGCCTAATAATTTTGGAAAATTTTTGAAGCCGACCCTCTGTTGAAAAAGCGATCTAGAGTGAGGCAAAAAGTTAAAATACAAGTTCATTAATATTTAAATGTTTAATAACTTAAATCCAAAATTCATTATGTTAGCTTATATATTCTATATAATTAAGTTACTAAACTAAAGACTTAAGTCTATTAACAATTTACTAGTATTGCGTTAATTGAGAGACCTGAAAATCCAATAATAAGCAGGTATTTTAAGTGAAGTTATATTGACAAATAAAATATAGTCTAAATATTAACAATGTATTTTCATTGAATCAATTCGGTTTTTCAAAAGATGGTGTAATTAGAAGACAGTAACCACAATTACATACATTTTTATTTATGTGTATTATATTTACTATAATATAAATTTATATTTATGTATATTATTAATATTTAGTGTATCCTACATTGACAAAGAATTTAAATTTTTTACTTAAAGGTAATTCATTTTATTAAGTAGAATGTGTAAAACAGGTCATAACAAGGATTGAATTTATGCAAATTTTATATACAAATGTATGTATGTATTTATGTTATATAAATACATACATACATACATACATACATACATACATACATACATACATACATACATACATACATACATACATACATACATACATACATACATACATACATACATACATACATACATATATACAAATATATATATATATATATATATATATATATATATATATATATATATATATATATATATATATATACAAATATATATATATATATATATATATATATATATATAAATATATATATATATATTCATATATGTATATGTATATATATATATATATATATATATATATATATATATATATATATATATATATATATATATATATATATATATATATATATATATATGTATATATGTATGTATGTATGTATGTATGTATGCATGTATGTATGTATGTATGTATGTATGTATGTATGTATGTATGTATGTATGTATGTATGTATGGAGAAATCCTGCTACTGGTAATATGTAACCCAGTACAATCATCTTCATGTCCTGCTGCCTTGTAGGATATGCCTTTTTAGGCAAAGGCTAGGAGATGCAAACTCCGACATAAAACACCCCCTGCCTTGGGGCTCTTGGTTGAGTAAAGGCTAGAGATGGTGTCTCGATAAAAATACTCATCTTGGGCAGATGTTACATGCATCCGGCTGCTGTCTTGTAGAAGGCCTCCTAGGCAAAGACTTAAGGGGTAAACAGATTCTATCTGTTGACCAGCCTCGCACCCCTTCGTCATCTATTAGGCTGGCGCAGATGTATTTTTAATACATTGTTTCCAGTTTAGGATGTTGAACGCTGGATCTTCTTGACTCGATGCATGGGTTTTGCTTGTGCCTCTGTTTTTATGACTAGGCAACTCATTCTATTATCTCCAAATGAGGGTACAGCTCTAAAACTCAGTTTTATGGCTCTGAGGCCGGCTGGTAGTCAGGTTTCCCGAACTCTGTGGTAGCTCTCAGAGAGGCTGATTCCATCAACAGCTGAAAAATATCAGAGTACTAACAGTGCCATGTTGCGCATGGATGGTGTCCCTGTATGTACTTTTGGTGTGCATTGCCAAGGCCACATTGGAGCCCTTTGTTATGGCTTAGGGTTTATTATTGGAAATGAGGCAATTGCTTGAGCTATAGAACAATGTACTGAGTACTATCAATGTTTCGAGTCAAGTTCTTTAACAAATTTAAAAATGAATAAAGTAACAAAAACTATAAAACACAAAAAACCACAGTCATCACCAAGTTTGCTAAACCTATCATTCACAATATTCGTGGTCTTCGAAGTAACTTTTCTTCTGTTGAGTCTTATCTCTTGTAAAGTTCACCAGACCTGCTTGCCCTTTGTGAGACTAATTTGAGTTCAGCTGTCTCATCTTGTGATCTAAGTGTTGATGGTTATCTTCCTTTAATTCGTAAAGACTCCAATAGTCACATGCTTGGCCTGGGCATTTACATTCGTAAGAATTCACCCATTTGTCGGGAAACTAGGTTTGAATCCACAGACTACTCTTTTATGTGGTTTCGTTTAGCACCACTTCACTCTCTCACCTTTCTCTTGGTTCTATATCGCTCTCCCTCATCCCAAGACTGCACTCTTCTTGATGTTATTTCTGATTATATTGACCAAGCCCTCATTCTTTATCCATCAGCCAATATTGTTGTTGTCGGTGACTTTAATGTTCATCACACTGAATGGCTTGGCTCTAGTGTCAGTGACTCTGCAGGCATTAAGGCCCACAACTTTTGTCTTTCTCAATTCCTAACTCAAATAGTCAACTTTCCAACTCGCTTTCCAGACAACCCAAATCATTTACCTTCTCTACTTGACTTATGTCTTGTTTCTGATCCTAGTCAGTGCTCAGTTTCTTCACACTCACCCTTAGGTGCGTCTGATCATGGTTTGGTCTCTCTAAAACTATTATCTAATTCTTCTTCACCATTAGAATCCCCCTATCATCGTACATCTTACAACTACCTTAAAGCTGACTGGGACTCTTTTCGTGACTTTCTTCGTGATGGCCCCTGGGTAGAAATCTTTCGTCTCCCTGTTGACAAATGTGCTTCTTACACAACTTCGTGTATTCAGGCTGGCATGAAATCCTTTATTCCTTCTCGACGATTCCAGGTCAAGCCTCACTCTTCTCCATGGTTTTCTTCACATTGTGCTGCTGCAATTGCCAATCGAAACCATTACTTCCATATCTATCAGCAAAACAATTCTACAGAAAACAGACGTCTCTTTATTACTGCTAGGAACCATTGTAAAAAGGTTTTGTCTAACGCCAAAACCCGCTATTCTCAGATCATGAAATCTCGTATTTCATCACAAAAATTAGGCTCTTGTGACTTCTGGAGAATCTTTAATAGTATCAATAATAAGGGCAAGTCTGTAATTCCACCTCTTTTGTACGGTTCAGACTTTGTCACCTCACCTAAAGACAAAGCTGAATTGTTTGCCAAGAACTTTTCATCAATATCATCTCTTGATGCCACTAGTTGCGTTTTACCTGATATACCCGTCAAACAGGTTGATCCATTGCTCGACATTCGTATCACTCCAGCTTCTGTATCTAAAGTGATTTCCCGCTTAGACTCTTCTACAGCTTGCAGCCTGGACAACATACCTGTTATAGTCTTGCAGAAGTGTTCTCCTGAGCTGTCGTCTATCTTTTCAAAACTATTCAACAAGTGCTTATCAGAGTCTTGTTCTCCAGCCTGCTGGAAAGCAGCATCTGTTATCCCTATTTTTAAAAATTCTGGAGAGCGATCTGACTCATCTAACTACCGTCCCATTAGTCTTCTTCCTATCATAAGCAAGGTTTTTGAATCTTTAATTAACAAACACTTAATCTCTCATCTCGAATCTCATAACCTACTTTCTGATCATCAGTATGGATTTCGATCTTCTCGTTCTACGGCTGATTTGCTATCAGTAATAACCGATAGGTTTTATCGTGCATTTGATAAAGGTGGAGAGGTTAAGGCCATTGCTCTTGACATTTCTAAAGCGTTTGAAAAAGTTTGGCATGCTGGTCTCCTCCATAAGCTTTCTTCTTATGGTGTATCTGGAAACATCTTTAAGATTATTGAATCCTTCCTTTCCAATCGTAGTATAAAAGTTGTCCTTAATGGACAGCACTCTTCTTCTTATTCTGTAACCTCAGGGGTTCCCCAAGGTTCAATCCTTGGCCCTGTACTCTTTTTAATTTACATTAACGATCTTCCAGATATTCTCACATCTAAGGTGGCATTGTTCGCTGATGATACTACCATTTATTCTTGTCACGATAAGAAGCCAACTCCCTCTGATTGCTTGCAGGGGGCATCTGAGCTTGAAAAGGATCTCACTTCTGCTACAACATGGGGCTCACAGTGGCTGGTGAACTTTAATTCAGATAAAACTCAATTTTTTTCAGCCAATCGTTATCGCAATATTTTAGACCTTCTTATATTTATGAACGGTAATGTACTCGATGAGTCTCCTACCCTTCATCTTCTAGGATTAACTCTTACTTCTGATCTTTCTTGGAAACCTTATATCAAATCCGTTGCAAAATTAGCATCTGCTAAAGTTGCTTCTCTTTATTGAGCTTGTCACTTTCTTACTCTGGATTCTATTCTCTATCTCTATAAATCTCAAATCCGGCCTTGTATGGAATACTGTTGCCATATCTGGGGGGGATCTTCTAATGATGCCCTTTCTCTTTTAGACAAGGAGCAAAAACGCATTGTAAACATAGTTGGACCTGCTCTTACAGCCAACCTTCAACCTCTGTCACATCGTCGTAATGTTGCTTCTCTTTCTCTTTTCTATAAATACTATAATGGGCACTGCTCTAAAGAGCTAGCGTCTCTTGTGCCATCTACTAAAATTCATTCTCGTGTTACTCGTCATTCAATTAAGTCTCATCCTTTTTCTGTTACTGTTCCTAAGTGCTCCAAAAACTCTTATTCGTCTAGTTTTTTTCCTCAAACATCAGTTCTTTGGAATTCGCTTCCTTCATCTTGCTTTCCTGATTCATATAATTTGCAATATTTTAAGTCGTCTGTCAATCGTTATCTTGCTCTACAATCTTCATCTTTTCTCTTCCAGTAACTTCCAACACTAATAAATGGTTTCTTGCAACCTTGTTGGAAGCGAAGATAATTAAAAAAAAAAATATATATATATATATATTTATATATATATATATATATATATATATATATATATATATATATATATATATATATATATATATATATATACATGTATATATATATATATGTATATATATATATACATATATATATATATATATATATATATATATATATATATATATATATATATATATATATATATATATATATATATATATATATATATGTATATATTATATACATATATGTATATATACATATATATATATATATATGTATATGTATATATTTATTTATATATTAAGTATTGTGTGTTTCTGTCATGTTTTTAGAAATATAGTTACTAACTTTTAGTACAATTATGTTTAACTGTAGATTCAGTTGAAAGAATCAGTTTGTTGTGCGTGAAAAAATTCAGTTTTTCAAAAAAACAATATTAATTTAATTAACAGGTAAATAAGATTAGAAGAATATTAAGTCGTTATAAACACTTTCTTATCTTAATTTATTTGACATCTATGAATTTTAGGCCTGTTAATGTGAACATGTTGTTTAGAATGAATACGTTTTACAGTGTAATGCTAAGAAAACATCTGAGATAGAGATTAGGAATCGTGAGTGATAAGATGCCTTGGGTAAAACGAAGTTGATTTGGGCAAGTAGATGATTAGAATAATCATATATTTTTGATGAATGCAAATGTTAATGCAAAAATGCAAATGTTAATGCAAAAGTTTATGAAACAAGCAATAAAATTAAAATATTTTATATTTATGAAAATAAATTTAAACTTGGTTTTCCATTTCATTTTTTTCAGAATTAAAATCTTTAATATTTGAATTAAGACTACTTTAATTCTGTAATCTTTGAAATGTAATTGACGATTTATGATGTGAATCGTCAATCACGTATAAAAGCAAAATTATATATATATATATATATATATATATATATATATATATACATATATATATATATATATATATATATATATATATATATATATATATATATATATATATATATATATATATGTATATATATATATATATATATATATATATATATATATATATATATATATATATATATATATATATATATATATATATATATATATATATATATATATATATATATATATATATATATATATATATATGGTTCACTCTCTTATAGCACAAACAAAAAAGAATATATATATAGTTTATTTATGAACTATATTCCTACCTATGAAAACATCTTCAGATTCAGCAGATTTATCTGTACATCCAAAAGCACATCTCAATACTAATATCAAGTCTTTAAGCATATAGTACACAAACATATATGCATATTATACATAAATATATTATACATATATGTACATGTATATTTTTATACTCAAAGTTAATCTTCTATAAACTCCATATAAATCTTGCAATATAAGAATTATATACTAAGATCCTTCATGGCATACTAATTTAATAAAATTATTACTTGCATTGCAGAGTTATGGAGTAGATTTTTTATTTTTTTGAATTTGATTTTTATGAATAGATTTTTTATTTTTTTTGAATTGGAATCTTTATATGTAGAATCTTGGACAAGTTTATTAAGTTTAACTAAAGTTAACTTATATTTAAAAATTATTTATGAACTTTAAATGCCTCCAAAAGAAATGAAACGCAAAATATAACTTGAAATTGAAATATAAAATGTAAATATTTGAATAATATATATAGTGTTCTTAACTAAATTTTTTACTTCTATCTCACCCTACATCATCACAGTAAAATTTGCCTGGCTTCAACCTTTTCTGCCTATGCTGTATCCAGTAATTTATATATCTATGGTTTACACATGTAAAAACTGCTGCTTTTGGTAAAATTTTAAAAAGAGATTCTAAATTTTTTTTATCTTCTTGTGAAAGAGGGGCACCCTGATGTGTTGCAAACAAGGTTTAAAAAAACGCAGCAGTGAGTTGTACGCTTTTTGCAAGATTTTTTAAAACTTGTCTATAGTCATGATTTAAAAAAGCGTAAGCCTCACCGCTGCATTATTCCTTGGTTGTGAATCCTTTAAGCATGTAATTGACAGAAGGCTTTATACATGGTATTTTTGCATTATACTTTGGTCACTTGAGGTTCCTATGCTTCAATGGGACTAGTTCAGCCTTAGTTCTTGATTTGTTCCAATCGCACAGTTTAATTGTGCATGCTTTTTCTTCGTTTAGTTCGAGTTGAACACAAGCTTGTACTTTAAACAATATAGCAGCAAAATGGCTGCAGGCTAATCCAAGTCCGGCCTTACAGGAGCAATCACCGATCAAAATTCAGCCTTTTTTATGCAGTGCAACCCAAATGCTGTATTGCTTGTGCCTTTGTCTTTGTCCGCTGACTTGGCAGTACCTATGAACAACCATAATTTTAAAAAAGTAAATAATTGTTGAATAGTTTTTTTCAGATACTATGTTACCTTAGTGTTCAAGTAACAATAGTCAGCGTTTTTGATCTTATGATAAAAAACATCATGAACATGCCCAGAAATAAAAAAGTTTTATGCTTCTATTGACTTACATGCTCTTATATTCTCTCTGGTGAATGGATTAGGTGCATCAATAAAGTAGAGTTGTATATCACCAAGTGATATATTAGGAAGCAGTATCATATTGTTTTGCCAGTCATTAATAGAAAATGGATCTGGCAAGACCGATCCGTTTCCCAGCGTTAGTTTTTCTCTGTATGTTAATTGCTCTTCATTGTTAAGAATTTGAAATGATTTTGATTTACTCCACATGATAATTTTTTTATACTTCTTAATCAATATATATATAAATTATTATAGTATAATAAATAAATATATAAAAAATATATATTATTTCATAACTAAATAGTATATAAAAAATATTATATTTGTATACATTCTACTAGTATACAATGTATGTCAGTAGAATGAAACTCGTGTTTTGCGATTGTTTGTTTATGTTTATTTTCTATACTACCGAAACCGCGTGGGACTGGGTGAGAAAAACAACGCAGATTGTCTTATATTGCTAAAACTGTTAAAATATCATTATTTAATCTTTGGCAAAAATTAAAATTTGCCATGAATCAAATAATTAAAAAGTCTCAAATTATCAGTTTTTATCAATTTTGAAAATTGTCAGAAACTAGCTATTAGATAGTAAACACAGTGTAAAACACAAATGAGTCGGTCATATAAGATCTTCTCTAATAATGTCATTAAATCAATCATCAGTTTTTCTTTTTTCTACAGAGCAAATGTATAATAAATATGTTTCGAAATTGTTATCAAAAATTAGATTACTGCAATCAAAACGTGAAGGAACAATCTGCAAAAAGATAAATAACAATTACAGTATCATCAAGTCAATAAGTTGATCATTAAAGTTGGATTTTAGAAACTTCAGGATATTTTCTTCATCCAACAGATAAGCATGTGTATTTATAAATCCTTAATATTTTAAAGATCTTCGTCAAATTTCCTGAATATTTTCAAAAACTTTTCTTTTGTTTGGTATCCAAAACTTGCTTCACTTTAATGTATTAGTTTCTACTAAACAGCTGCTTATAAAGACTGTTGCTCAATAAAATCGGATTAAAGTCTTCTCTTAAGAATATAGTTAAACCATCTTTTTTGGATATATATTAATATATTAAGATTGCCTATATTAGCAACTTTTAAGCATTTGCGTCAAATAAAAAAGTCAAAAAAAAAATTTTAATAATTTTTGGTCTTATGTCTTGTTTGAGTGAACCAACAACTGAAGATTTCACATTTACTAAGTTTCAACTTCCACAAATATTTTTATTAAATAATTAGTTGCGTTTCAAATAGGACTTTTTAATTTTCCGCTTTTGAACAAAACTTTAGGGCACATGCAGTTTTTTCATGAAATATTTTGTAGGGTTATTAGATGTTCGTGTATTGCGAAGAAATACGCAGTAAAAATTTTGATTTTCATAGGTTCGGCACTGTATTTTCCTCCTTAAAACCCGGAAATTAGGTACCCTAGTATTTTAAAATAAAGCTTTGATATTCTTTTGTTGGATTACCAGATATCCGGGTTTTATTAAGGAGAGAGCAGTGAAAATTTTAATTTCTATAGATTCGGCAGTGTATTTTTCTCGCTCATCTGGTAACCCCATTCTTTAGAGATTCGTATGCTGAAATCATTATTTGTACAAGTGATAGGTAACTTTAAAGGGGCTTTTACTCTCCGTCTGAAGAATTTGTAAAATGTCATTAAAATCTCTAACAATGTATTTTAAACCAGAGAGTGAAATTAAAACTTGTAATTTAGCAAATAACTTATATCTGATTTGTATTGTAAAATTTAATCTGATTTGTATATTAATTTGAACTGATTTGTTTAAATATAAAAATATTTGTATAAATTATATTAGAAGAAGAAATTTTTTATAAGATTCAAAATTGTTAAATTGTTAAACTTGTATCAGTCAAAACATAGAGCTTCTCATAGTTTAATAATAGATGATAAAAAAAGGAGTCATTTTTCCGGCACACAACTCATTCATGACAAAATTACGAATGACAATATGATTCTCAACTTTTATAACTGTTTCATGAAATCTGATAACACAAACCATTTTCAGGACATGAAACCAACATTTCAGTAAGGCATGAACAGTAATTTTCGAAAAAGGAGAAAGGCTTCGGGCCTTTCCATTTCCCTTCCTTTACATATTTTTTTTCCAAACAGATTTGCTTGCAATTTCTGTTAAAATCAAGGCTTGCATTTTTAAAGTCTGTTTGAAAAATAATTTGCAAGTGCTCAGACCAGGTAGGAGATCTTGAATGACATCATCAAAATGTACTAACATACGAGAAAATTCATCAAGCTCATCGCTCCTTATTACTTATAAAGAACTTAAATTGATAAATGATATAACAATAGGCTTTACTAGTATTTCATTTCATATTACTAAAAAAGTTTTACCATTTGCATCGAAATTAAATTTGCTATAAATAGTTTAAAATTATTTTTACTTGATTTTTGTTTCCTGATCTTTTATGGTTGTAAATTAAATAAAAAAAACAAAACTTTACAATTCTCCTTGTAACTACATTTGAAAATAAAAACAAGTGTGTATATATATATATATATATATATATATATATATATATATATATATATATATATATATAATAATAAAATAATAATAAAATAATATTTATTTGAATAATGAAAACAACAACATGAAAATAATTAACTTTTTGTTTGGAAGATGTCGAAATAATTGTAATAGTAATTTTTGCTTTTCTTAATATAAATTTTAACAAAAGTCGTAAAAAAATTTTCTTCATATAACAATATAAAAAATAAAGAGAATACTTTTTGTTATGTTACTTATTCACGTTACTTTTCTTTTCTTGCTTAGTTGTTGTTGTTTTTTTTACCTTCAAAACGTTTCAAGTGTAAAGCGAAAGAAGACTGTTAAAGAAAATAACCAGAAAAGAAGTTTATATACCTGTTTTGAAGAATAGAGATTGTATATCATAGTGTATTTGTCGTACTAAATGAAGTAATTATAATTATGCAACGTTCTCGTTTGGATCGGATGTAAGTTTAAACAATAAAAGCATTTAATATTTTTAAAAGTCGCATCATGATTTTAAAACTTCCTTCTTTATGAATTTAAACTTAGAATTTTTTTTTAAATTGATTTTGGTATTTTAAGTTTTCCAAAAAAGTTGAAGAAATAATTTTAAAAGAAAAAAAAGCTGTTTAAGAAAAATAAAGTTTTTGAAAACAAAAGGCGTTATTGATACATTCATCGATTTACACGGATGTCGATAATACGGTATTGTAAAATTGCTATGTTGTAAGCATTTAATTTATTACAAACATTTGCATTCATCTGTATTACCAAATGAGTTTTGCATCCTATGGTGCATTATCTGTAAATCATACGATGCATTAAAACAAGGTCTTATTTTTTTATTTATTTTGTTTTATATAGAAAAGTAAATTGTTTATATTCTTCAAGAACCACTCAGCAATCAGCAGTTACTTTAAGTTTGAGTTTATAATTGTACCTGATTCAATAAGTATTGCAGAATTATTTGATAATAAAAGAATACCAATTATGTTTATTCAATTATATTATCTTCAATATAATTTTTTTTATCTAAACGCTGCGCTATTTATAATTAATAAAAAAGAAAGGATTTCCGGATATAAAATTAAATCCTACAACGTCCTTAATTTTTAATGAATAGTTTATTTTGATTATGTATCTTCATTGAGGTCGTTTTGATTGCAGTACTATAGTACTCTTATTGAAGCTAACCTGTGAATCGTTTTGATTGACAGGTTATATGGTACTATTATTGAAATTAACCTGTGAATCATTTTAATGTGACAATTATATTAATTTACGTAATAAGTTAATGTAACGTATATTGTTATATAAGATAACACAGAGCCGGAGCCACAGTTTTCGATATAAATATTTTCTAGACATGATGTGACCTCCAAACATTTCTTTTTTAATACTAGTGTCAAGTGAGGATTTAGTATACCTTAGGTCTTTTTATCGATTTAAGTAAAGCTTTCGATACAGTCAATCATCAAATCCTTCTATCGAAACTCAAAAGTTATGATATAAAAAATACTAACTTGTCCTGGTTGGAGAGTTATTTGACCAATAGGAAGCAGTATATAGTTTATGATGAAGGAAAAACTAATTATGAGACAATTAAATGGGGTGTTCCTCAAGGATCTATTTTAGGGCCACTTCTATTTCTTGTTTATATAAACGATTTAAATAAATTTTCTAACATTTTAAATACAATTTTATTTGCACATGATACCAGCTTGTTTTATTCCAATAAAGATATCAGTATATTATTCCAAACATTAAACAAAGAACTAGACAAACTAACCCAATGGTTTAAATCAAACAAGTTATCTTTAAATATTACTAAAACAAAATACACTTTATTCAATCGCCTACATAAAAAATCAGATATTCCCTTAGAACTCCCAGACCTTTTTATTGACAATCAATTAATAAAGAGAGAGCAACCAATAAAGTTTTTAGGCGTGTTTCTAGACAAAAATGTAACCTGGAGGGAACACATAGGTGTAGTTGAAGATAAAATATCAAAAAATTTAGGTATAATTTACAAAGCAAAGCAGTTATTACATCGATCTTGTTTAAAAAACATTTACTTTTCTTTTATTCATTGCTACTTAAGTCATGCAAACATTGCTTGGTGTAGCACTAACGCGACGAAAATAAAAAAATTGCTTAGCAAACAAAAACAGGCTATAATGACAATTTCAAACGGAGATCGTTTTTCACACACATAAACACTTTTTAATGAACTCAATATCCTAAATGTATATAAACTAAACCTCTATCAAGTTCTTATTTTCATGTTCAAACTTGATAAAAATATATTACCAATCTTATTTTATTCAACTTTTGAAAAAATAAATCACATATACCCTGCAAGATTTTCAAAATACAACTACATTCAATCCAAAACTTATTATTCCGCTACTAAATTCTCTATCGTAAACCGAGGACCAAAGTTGTGGAACATAATATTAAATAATGAAATGAAAACTAATTATTCTCTAAACCAATTCAAAACAAAACTTAAGCAATTACTTTTGTAAACTGAAAATGAATTAAATTTTTTCTAATAAAACTTCTTTATATTAGAAATCAATAATTAATAGTTAATTAGTTAATTACTTTAGATTATTAATACATAATTAATCAACAATTGTACATATATTTTTATCATTTTAA